AAACGAGATATTGTATTTACGATACGGTTGGGTAATTAGCCCCAGTTGAAGTGAACCGTCTATAGAGTTTCCATCGATCGAAATTGCCGATTATCGTGCGCTAATAATTTCAGTTAGGCTCGTAAACGGGACGTTGATCGAGTAGTTATGTATATTGCCGTGCGCTATGTCTGGCTTTTGATCGAGTATAAACGCATTTGGCGTATCGGATTACGAAGGATGCCCTATCAATTTCTAGAAAGCGCAGCTTTCGTTCGTAGAATGGAGCTTCAAACGGAGCTTAAAACTGATTAATACCGCTTATTATAATCCAGTAAATTATCGGAGGAGCAGGGGAAGGGCGGGGGGAGGGATAAATAAATCAGAAGTGGCAATAAATAAAAACGATTGCGTTAATCCCGTTACATGGTTCCCGTTACGCCAATTGACTTCCAAGCTGTCGAAACAATCCTCATCGAGCCATCATCACGTGTATTTAATTATCGATAAAACCAATTAAAATAGATCCAATCGACGAAATGACGTTTCATCTCACCTCGTGCGAAAACTATCGACGGAGAATAATTTTTTTTCGTGAAAACAAATGCCAATTTAATTCCGCATCAATCATGGTGGCTTCTGCGTCCTCGAACTCCGATTAAAGCTTAAAGAGGAACTATTCTCTAAGGGGAAATTTTTAAAGGATATTTTAATTTAAAAAAATAGAATAAGTTTAATTTATAATTTTAATAATAATTAAAGTTATAAATTAAACCAATTCATAATATAAATTCTACAATTAGAAGTGTGATTTGCATCCAGGATTATAATTACTACTCATGTTTAAATTTCGAGATAAAATTATAAAAAAGATTTGTACAAAATTTTTCACTTTAGAGAAATGTGGATAATATAATTAAAAATTATTTCAGTGAAATGTATTTAATTTCTTCAGAAATTATTTAGATTTGTTGTTGTTTTCTTTTTTTTTTTTTTGACGTAAAACGATCATTTCCGCTGTAATAGCATAATGTGCGAGAGAACGAACGAGCGGTTTCAATTATCGTTGAATAAATGTAATGTGGATAAAGTTTTGTATGCAAGAAACAAGGGTAGGACGGAATCGGGCGAAAACGTAATTACCACGTCGATAATATATATATATGCGCGCAAGAAAGGTATTTAAATTATTCACCGATTTAAGTGCGACAAGGAAAGCCGCTTGGGTACGATCGGATTTTCTGATTAGCGGACCGGCCAAAGTTATACCCGTGCGCTTTCTCTATTATAACGGAGAGTAATAGCTACCGCAGATTTTCAGTATGTTTTCTAAACATTTATAACAACGGATCCGGATAATTGTGAACTCTCGGCTTGTGCCCGCGCTTCTAAATCCCCGCCGCGGTCCCGGATGTGGGCGAATAGGCTCAGCGGATGAATAGATTTACGCTGCGCCGCGCAAACGTGCCGGAAATTGAAGAAAAACAGATCGTTGTAGTAATCCCAATGTTAAATTTGATGACCTTTTAACGTGTTACTATAATATTACCTTAGGTGTACGTGCGTTTTGTGCGCGAACAGTGCGAGCGCTAAGCGCGATATCCGGGGGAGATCCTCTTTAATCTCGAAAACGTCACAAAATCGAGCGAATTTCCATATAGTAGTTTCGATGTAGCCGAGCGTAGCCCTTGACACATTTATACATATACACGGCATATAGCCGACAGCGGATAGCGCGACCTTATGATACGCGTACGCGTATCTCTCCCCGTTGTACGTTATAATTTGCTTTTCGCCGATGTTTATTTGCCTTTGCTCTTTCGCGCATGCATATGTTTAGAGTGCGCAACTCTACGCCCGCGGATACGCCGAGCGGACTTCTGCGGAGCGGAGCGGCCGCGACGCGGACCACCGGAGAACAAAGGGGGTGAGCTCACGCAAAATACGCTCGCATGTTTGGTACCGGCGCGAATCGCGGACCGGTCGCGCACCACCACGAATTCGTCAAAGCGACTACAACGTTCATTGTTTATCCGCGCGTCCGGCCGCGCGGCTCTCTTTCTCTCTCTCTCTCTCGAAAAATGAA